TAGAGATAGTTTGAGTCCCGGGAAAGAACATAGGATAGTTTTTATCCCGGTTTTTGAAACAGGGACGCGCGCGATAAAGTTTTTCTGTGACAGACAAAATTCCACGCGGGCGAAGCCGCGGGCGGAAAGCTAGTACAAGCATAAATCATGAATAACAACAGCCTCAACATTTCCAGACGAGACTCCTCCTCAGTCCAGATGGTCCAGACAACAATATGCACGGGCTATGAGCGTCAGCTCGATGCCCGAACTGGCCAAGAGGTCGAAGACCCTGATGATGATCAACATTTATCGATACAACCGTAACACATTCTCTTTGTTACAGTCCCCGCTCAAGTCATACTGTTCCTCAGTGCAGTTTCAACAGTAACACCAGGCAACTGGCACCGGCGGAACACCACGGGCTCACTCAACAAACACTGCAGCCTGGTAGACCACTCGTTAAGCACCCAGTGTGTGCAGACACAGTACCGGCTGCTCTGCAGAGGCGGCTTGACCAGAGAGTGGACGAGGCAGGTCAAGTGAGTAACAGCTCTTGTCTTTTCTTTTATAACGCGGACGAATGTTTGAGGCAAAACGTCGATAGTGGTGTCCTGGCTTACCGAGGGCAACATCAGGTCTTAAGTGGGTAGGCCCTGCACTTCTGGCAGGGATAACCCCACATAGCCCACTAGCTGGCCCACGGCTGGTGGGTATATAAATTCATGTATTTTCCTAAAGATAAAAAAAGTCTATTCTGTTATTACTAGAACACCATTATTGCATTTTCCCATGACGTAGAGCAAAAAAAGCTCTGTGCTATATCTTGTACAACACTACTCAAAAACCTCCTTAGGTTACCTACTTATACGCATTGTATTTATATGTATATCCAGAAAATTACTAATCAACGAATAAAAAACATCCAAACTATAAAAATACTAGGTCCAGCAAAAGTATATCAATTAACCGGTCCGCTTGATTTTACGTCGAATTTGATTCATATATTATTATCGTGTTTTATGGACAGACATATTTCTATTTCATGGACAGACATTTATTAACTTTAGTCCCTGACGATTATACTCCAAATGTTATACATAGTAATTGTCTTACTAACATACAACTGCTTTAAATGTATCTATATATCTTCTGTCTGACATTAATAATAGGTTCCGTCCTAAACACGAACTGAAGCCGATTTTGAATAGGACTGGGCTCTTCATTCATTCGAACATTACGAACAGCAAACAATTAGGGATTTAAACAAGTAACTTTTATGATCTGAATTCTATATCTACCTATTCGTTTAAAGATAAAAGCGAAAAAAAAGTAAGTAAAAGGGAAAAAATCGGAAATCCTTACTTATTGTGAATTGGATTTTCCTTTGTGCTGAATTTTCCGTTGTATTTGAGCAAAGCGACAGAGTAGCGCAGTGAAATCAAAGATTCCGTAGAAGTTGAAATTCGGTTGCCGGTTCAATTTGTGGCCAAATTAACATCCTGTTACGTTACAACTACTCCTAACAAACATTTATTTAGCCTAGATAAAGAGGTTAACGGGGCTATAAGATCTGTGGTCTGTTGTAACACAAGTATTTTTTACTTACCATAGATCACCAGTCTCCACATACAAGTTACATGTATTTATTCTATACCTAATTGTAAGCATATTGTATCTACTTGTTTGTGGTGAGAAATAAATACCATTTTATTATTATTTATTATTAAAAAGTATTTTGTGCTATTTAAAAAAAAACCTTGTATTCTACAATTGCTAATTAATGGCATTTGAGTGAACTTACAAGTCACAACGTCAACACGAGTCACACGAGCTTGCATTTGGCTTCGTGTAAATAAATATTTCCTGGAGATTCTAAGGAGGGTGCCGATAATTATCTTTATTCTAAGAATAATGTTACATTACGGAAGCAATTTGAGAGCATTCTCGTTTAACAATAAGTAAAGACAAACTCGGTCGCGACTCTTTGAATAAACTTCTCCATAGTTACGTTATCAAAGGCGATATGAAATATCGCTGTAATGAATCTTCTACCTACCTGCCTAACTGTGACCTAAATGCATTGACATAGGTAAAAACCCACACCCACATATTCCCAAAAAGAGTGAAATAATAAATATTTTTTGTGATCAGGGCGTCTTTTACCATCCCCGAGTAAATTCCAATCAGTTAACTTCCTGATTACTAATTAGCAAGTAAAATAAGAAGTATTTTAGCGTTAGGTACTCAGAGATGATGAAATTCGATATATTTCTACTCGTGACTTTAAGCAGCGAATAGCATATTGACACTTTACTCGGAAATGGTGAACGAGGCCTTAAGTGTAATATAAAACAATAACAATCTAGAAAATAATACACATCTTTATTTCGTGTGTATTTGAAAAATAAATAAGAAATATCAAAAGGAGTGGATAAATCTCCGATGGCAACAATATTATTATAACCATAATAACTGGATTTCCGTGAGAAAGGGCCCTTACGTGACCACTACACGGAAAGAGTAGGTTCTATTCTAGGGTAGGTTCTATGAATCTATAGTAAAATGTAAACTAACATTTCACGAATTCATAAACTCTATTCTACTCAGCCAAAACCATACGGCAGTAACAAAATTGAACGGCGTCTCAAAATGTGTTTGACCGCGTGCCTTTCAGATCCTATTACTGTAATGGAAAGCGCCCTACAGTGCTACGTGATACTACGAGAAGCGCTACGAACTACGGATAGGTAAATTGGTTTATCATAAGCTTTTTGTAAGCAAAAACAATTTATTTATTTTGCTGCCATTTTTGTGAACGTTTGTAAAATAGTTTCTCCTTACGAAATTGAACATTATGAAAGAAAAGCACAATCACAAAGCCGCCACGACTTCAAACACAGCTCTACCTAAACCACTTGGTAGCGTAAACGCTTATTGAACATGAGTGCCTTACATTAAATTACTTATTACTTAGGCATACGGCTAGGCAACGTAGTCATGCAGGAGGATACAAGGAAGAGGGGCAGCCACAGTAGGTAACACAGAGTCGTTCAGGTGAGTGCCAGGAAGAGGTGCAGCAACCGCAATTAAGGAACGGCTGGGACGAACAAGGATAGGCGCATCAAGCTCGTAAGCCTTGATAGGGTTACATTGGTTGAGGTGGGCCCTTTTCAAGACTTGGAAGCCTGTGGGTAACAAACCATTGGACATGGAGAGGGTCATTAATTATACGTATATTTTCTACTTTGCCGNTCAACCCCTCATTTGATTCCGACCTATTTTTGTTTATTCCATTTTCCAGGAAATTGGTAGCAATTTTTTAATCCCTAAAAAGTCGGTTTCGCTGTATGTAGGTTATTATTCTACATATTGAAACAATAAAATTTGTATTGGCTCGTTGATGTAATTCGAGAAATTTTAGAGAATCGAGTGACCTTTGAGATGGAAAAAATTGACATAAGAAAAAACGAAGAAAAAGAAATATTCTTGCTGGCCAGTGCGCGCAGCCAAGGAGGCCGCCGTTGCGGCCGCAACATGCCCCCCGCGTTGAAGGGAAGGCTAGGTACGTGGCCGAGTCTTCAAATGGAATTCAGGAAAGATGATGCCTCTTGTTATGTTATTCGTCGTCTGGATTGAGAACATATCTTGCAAGCAGCTCGTCGAACGATTCCTTCGGCAGTTTTGACGTCGGCCACTCGACTGATCCCATCGGGTCCTGGGTAGAGTTTCGTGATGCGACCCAGTTTCCATTTGAGTGGCGGGAGATTTTCTTCCTTCAGAAGAACGTGTTTATTTAGGTCCAACGTTGTTTTGTTCGTGGTCCATTTGTGGCGTTGTTGTAGATCTTGCAGGTATTCGTGGTGCCAACGCCGCCAGAAGTGTTGACGGAGGGCCTCAATACGTGCGTAACGGGTCAGTCGGTCCAAATTGTCCTGATGATACGTGTGAGATGGAATCGTTGTGAATGATCGGCCTATGAGGAAATGAATGGTCTCGAGTATAATATTGCTTCGATTTGCGATAGCAAAGTTCTTAGCTCTTCGAATGTCAGATGTGAACGAAACACAATTCGATTCAAGTGATGTGTCGCGAACTTGACAGCGGCAGCGGCTTCGTACAGACCACCGAAGTGGGGCGCGTATGCTGGGGCAAAATGGAACGCGATACCCTCAGTTGCCATAGCGTCAGAGACACTGTCAGTGGTATGTTGCTGCTTAAGGAGTCGTTTTAGCTCCTACGAAGCTAAGACTATTACCCGAGTAGATGATTTTACCCCGGCGCGACATAGAACGTCTTAAGGCCATGAGGAATGACTCCGTGGTAAGATCGGCGACTGCTTCTGAGTGGATAGATATATTCGATTGATCGTGCTAAGTTTTTGCCACGGATTGGTCAATAAAACTTACGTGTTGAAGCTAATAAATGCTGTGGTCGTGAGATGTTTGTGTTGAAATAAAAGCTTCGTGAACGGNGTATGTGTTTTCTACCCGTACCATTTTCGGGGAATTATAACTTCTGAAATAAAGCTCACCTGTAATAATCAGTAAATAAATTAATATTGGTCTACCTTCTTCAGATTGTTATTTATTTCCGATAAACTAAAGTGCGATGTGGAGTGAACGTGGGCGTTGATGTTTTTGGCTTTCATTTATTATTCATAATAGGTATGCTTAGGTACCGTTTTAAAACCTCTCCCAAAAGGTTGCTTTTAAAATGCTGTAAATATTAGACACATACTTCATTTCTTAGCCTTAAAATACTTATAGGATTACTCGTGTTACTTTTACCTTATAAATAAATACCTACTTTATATAAACGGTGTCGTTTGGTTGAAATCCAAGCAACGCTGGTTCGAACCCCACCGCCGGTGGACTATTGTGGTGAACCCACTAGTAAAACAAGCCAAATTATCATAAGTCTCGACATAAGTGCCACCAGTGGTCAAAATTGAATAAAATGTTTTTGATTTTAATTCTTGATTATCGATACAACCGTAACACACATTCTCTTTGTTACAGTCCCCGCTCAAGTCATACTGTTCCTCAGTGCAGTCTCAGTAGTAACACCAGGCAACTGGCACCGGCGGAACACCACGGGCTCACTCAACAAACACTGCAGCCTGGTAGACCACTCGTTAAGCACCCAGTGTGTGCAGACACAGTACCGGCTGCTCTGCAGAGGCGGCTTGACCAGAGAGTGGATGAGGCAGGTCAAGTGAGTAACTCTTGTCTTTTCTGTTATAACGCGGACGAATGTTTAAGGCAAAACGCCGATAGTGGTGTCCCGCGTTCCCAACTCATATTATGGCTTACCGAGGACAACGTCAGGTCTTAAGTGGGTAGGCCCTGTAGAACCCCACATAACCCACTAGCTGCCCCCGCGGCTGGTGGGTATACAAATTCATGTATTTTCCTAACGAAAAAAAAAGTCTTTTCTGTTATTTCTAGAACACCATTATTGCATTTTCCCATGACGTAAAGCAAAAAAGCTCGGTGCTTTATCTTCTATAACAATCCTCAAAAATCTCCTTAGGTTACCTCGCTATAGATATTGTATTAATATATCCAGAAAATAACTAATGAGCGACTAAAAAAACAACCAAACTACAAAAATAGGTACTACAGCATAGGTAAGTAATATCAATTTAACAACTTCTGGTCCGCTTCATTTTACGTCGATTTTGATTCATACATCGTATTTTATGGACAGACATATTTCTATTTCATGGACAGACATTTATTAAATTTAGTCCCTGACGATTATACTCCAAATGTTATTCATAGTCATTGTCTCACTAACATACAAGTGCTTAAAATGTACCTATATATCTTCTGTCTGACATTAATAATAGGTTCCGTCCTAAACACGAACTGTGTGCTTACCATGAGTTTACGTTAGGTGTGCTCGCTAGCGACTACGTAAAAAAATGACATTAATTGTATGACATATGGTGCAGCGCCCCTAGCGGCTACTTTCAAGAAACAAAATCTTCATAGAGATTTTTGACGTACTCGCTAGCGAGCACACCGAACGTAAACTCATGGTAGGTACACTGAAGCCGATTTTGAATAGGACTGGAGCTCTTCATTCATTCGAACATTACGAATAGCAAACAATTAGGGATTTAAACAAGTAACTTTTATGATCTGAATTCTGTATACCTATTCGTTTAAAGATAAAAGTAAAAAAGAAAGTAAGTAAAAGGGAAAAAATCGGAAATCCTTATTTATTGTGAATTGGATTTTCCTTTGTGCTGAATTTTCCGTTGTATTTGAGCAAAGCCACAGAGTAGCGCAGTGAAATCAAAGATTCCGTAGAAGTTGAAATCCGGTTGCCGGTTCAATTTGTGGCCAAATTAACATCCTGTTACGTTACAACTACTCCTAACAAACATTTATTTAACCTAGCTGAAGAGGTTAACGGGGCTATAAGGTCTGTGGTCTGTTGTAACACAAGTATTTTTTACTTACCATAGATCACCAGTCTCCACAAACAAGTTACATGTATTTATTCTATACCTAATTGTAAGCATATTGTATGTAATTGTTTGTGGTGAGAAATAAATAGCATTTTATTATTATTTATTATTAAAAAGTATATTGTGCTTATTAAAAAACTTTGTATTCTACAATTGCTAATTAATTGCATTTGGCTTCGTGTAAATACCTACATGAGCGTTTCATTTGTAATTTTATTGTTAAACAAAAATATTTCCTGGAGGTTCTAAGAAGGGTGCCGATAATTATCTTTATTCTAAGAATAATGTTACATTACGGAAGCAATTTGAGAGCATTCTCGTTTAACAATAAGTAAAGACAAACTCGGTTGCGACTCTTTGATTAAACTTCTCCATAGTTACGTTATCTAAGGCGACATGAAATATCGCTGTAATGAATCTTCTACCTACCTGCCTAACTGTGACCTAAATGCATTGACATAGGTAAAAACCCACACCCACATATTCCCAAAAAGAGTGAAATAATAAATATTTGTTGTGATCAGGGCGTCTTTTACCATCCCCGAGTAAATTCCAATCAGTTAACTTCCTGATTACTAATTAGCAAGTAAAATAAGAAGTATTTTAGCGTTAGGTACTCAGAGATGGTGAAATTCGATATATTGCTACTCGTGACTTTAAGCAGCGAATAGTATATTGACACTTTACTCGGAGATGGTGAACGAGGCCCTAAGTGTAATAAAACAATAACAATTAAAAAAAACACCTTTATTTCGTTTGTATATTGAACAATAAATAAGAATTAACAAAAGGAGTGGATAAATCTCGGAAATTATTATGACCATAACTGGATTTCCGTGAGAAAGAGCCCTTACACGACCACTACACGGAAAGAATAGGTTCTATTCTAGGGCAGGTTCTATGAATCTATAGTAAAATGTAAACTAACATTTCACGAATACATAAACTCTATTCTACTCAGCCAAAACCATACGGCAGTAATAAAATTGAACGGCGTCTCAAAATGTGTTTGACCGCGTGCCTTTCAGATCCTATTACTGTAATGGAAAAGCGCCCTACAGTGCTACGTGATACTACGAGAAGCGCTACGAACTACGGATAGGTAAATTGGTTTACCATAAGCTTTTCGTTGGAAGCAAAAACAATTTATTTTGCTGCCATTTTTGTGACCGTTTCCCCGTTTGTAAACTAGTGTCTGCGTACGAAATTGAACATTTATGAACTAGGAAAAGCACAATCATAAAGCCGCCACAACTTCAAACACAGCTCTACCTAAAACCACTTGGTAGCGTAAACGCTTATTGAACATGAGTGCCTTACATTAAATTCTCAAATTATAAATCTTCCAAAAAATTTTTGTCACATATTGTTGTTCAATAAAGACCATACAACATTGTTTTAATGAAAATTAGCTCAAATTGAAAAAAAATATCCTACTGTACTCTCTAACTCTACTACAATGTAGCAATATGACAAGATATTTAATCACATTTTGAAAAATTTGTATTTTTCCCGGAATACTATAATGTAACTTAACAATATAATAATGTACCAAAAAGCATCTCAATAAAGTCAAGAGAACCGGAGATACCATTCAAGAATTCTTAAGAGTCCTCGCTTCGCATTTTCCAACTTACTTTACTTCACTATATACAGGGTGGAATTTTGTAATGCCATCTGAAGGGAAAGTACGTAAAATTTTTACTCAAAGAAAACATTCCTTTATTTTTGAAAACAAAGTGAACTGCATTCATAGATTTCCGAAAACTCACCATCATACCATACCATTTTTTGTAACTAATTTTAAATTTCATGGTTTTCCTTTCATTTGCTTTATCAAGTTTTTGAGAGAGGTTTCATCCTCATAATAACCCTAGCCATCGATGCAATAAAAATACAGAGTGTAATTTTTAACAGATTTTGGTCGGTCTGATTCCCGGTGTAGCAAGAAAATTTTCGGAAATCTTTGAATACAGTTTTCTTTCTTTAAAAATATAAAGGAATGTTTTCTTTGAGTAAAGTTTTCTATCTAAAATATCACGAGCACTTTCCTTCCAGGTGGCATTACAAAATTCCACCCTGTATATTACTGAAGAATTCTGAAATTCACGTAGTTTACAATCTAGATACTCGGAATTCTTTTAATCTAAAATATTCCACGATTGCTGGAACTGAAGATAATCAAATTGGATTACAATCAGTCTTTTTCATTAAGTATTTAATTTAGATCTTGATGTCGAACTTAAATATTAACTCCCATTATTATAAAAAAATAGCACTTGATGGACCTGTTTATTATTTAATCAACATGAAGCAATAATATTATTATTAAGGTAATCAGAATTACTTGTTTCATTAGATTTATAAAGAAATGCATTTATTTATTTTTAGGAATACGTTACAAAACTCATACAGTTTGATATTCTTATAAGATATACATTATACGCTCTTACATCAATACACAAAAATGCCTGAATCCTGAGCTCTAAGGATCTATCTTCAAAGACACCGCTTTATTATTTGTCAACAATACTCTGCTAAAGGTAGTAAAATCTAATGTTTATTTCGTATAATCATCTCCTTTTGATAAAGAGTGTTTGTAAAAGATAATTACTGCAAGAATTTAACCAGTTTGTGATAAGAAAAGCCTTAGCTATAGACTTTAGGCTAAATATTAGGCGCCAGAAGTATATTCTGTTCTTTGTGTAGTACATTTCTGTGAAGGCCAAGAGCAATACGAAGCATCTTTAAATGGAAGAAATAAAGATATTGATGATATTTACGCCCGTATTTACAAACATTACTATGAGGTCTCACAGTGCGCGTGGACGCACAGGGTCACACACGAGCCAATCACAGAGCTCTACTCAACGCTGTGCGTTCGACTGCTTCACTTAATCAAGCTTCGTTTATGAAAACGGGTGTTAATTTCTTTTTTCTTTCCTCTTAAGTCACTTTCCGTTTCTCAAGTTCTCTGTTTTGTTCACAGACATGACATATCACATCTCAGGGTGCTGGACTGTCCAGGCCCCTGCGTCAATATAACCAGAATACAGCAACAGTTCCCAGAGCTAAGGATTCTGGAACTCATCAACTGCACTTCCCTGTATACCTTTAAGGGACACTTCGGGACTCTTAGTAAAATTAAGGTATGTTTGTTTGTTTGTTTGTAAATTAGGATAGAAGTAACATAGCGTATTGCTTCATTGTATGGCTTGAGTTTTATAAGAGTAAGCCACAATTAAATGTACTGCTAGTAGTACAAGCTGTACTTCAGATAGGTACTACACCTACGAGAATATTTTCACTAAATAAAGCATTTCCCAGTTGTTGGAGAGAACATTCATTTCGTGTCGTTGAACTGCAAATTTTTGCTTATTTATTTGATTACTATTTTTAAACATTTACCAATTTATTTCATTCTGATACCATCAACATAGTTTATACCGCTTTAAAGTAACTGTCATAAAATATTGGCAGTTGTTTAATTAAATTAATAAATACAATAAGGTTATGCTCTTTTGTTTAGAATTGTCTTTTTGTTTCTTCACTTTCTATAACAATAAAATGTGCACAAAATGTTTATGATATACACGTATCCTTGCCGCATCCTTGCCATATTCACATAGATAAAAGTAGCGAACAATACCTATTATTTTAAATAAACAAGAGACTCCTATAAAAAAGCACACTAAGTTATTAGTTTTGGTTTTGCAGTTCAAATTGGAATAAGCCCATTTTGTCTCGCACGTTCAACCTAGTGGGCGTCAGCTTTTACAAAACTGTCAAAAAGAATTTGAAAAACAATAGATTTCAATAGAATTTAAAAAAATACAATAAAAAGTAAAAAGAGTCTCCGTCGCCGTCGCCAACAAGTGATGTGCATGTGATAGGTACGTTAATTAGCGATGTTTATAATAAATTGTCAATAAAATAAAATACTCAAGATTAAGAAACAAAATTATAGGGCATTCTTTTTTACTGATTTGTGTTCAGTGTCCTTACCTTACCTCTGTAAATGTGGGAAGAATGCAAAGCAATACCGTATATATTTCGTGTACGAATAGAATTCGATTGGTTCATAAATACGTCTCGTTCATAAATACGCTACATCGATCACAAGTCGAAGCTCTTATCGTTTCTATCGAATTCAATGGAACCATTGATCTAGAAAGACAAACTAAATTAGAAGTAAACTATATTGTTTCCTTTAACATCTAAGCAATTCTCAACAATATGTTATTACTAGCTTTTGCCCGCGGCTTCACCCACGTGAGATTTAGTTTGTCATAGATCGTCATAAATATGTTATTCTGGGTTATAAACAACAATACTGTAAAGTTTCATCAAAATCAGTAGTGTTTGCAACAAACATGTTAACATTCAGACATCCAGACATCCATACAAACTTCCGCATTTATAATAAGTATTAGTAAGATTAGTAAATGTACTGGTGAAATTGTGAACTCCGTCAGTTTATAATAAAATGCAAGTGATTGTAACTAACAGTCTCTACGTCAGATTTATAATCTGACAAAATTCACAATTTTAAGGTGATAGGTATTATACACATAGTGAAATACCGCAAATTTTAAAGCAAAAAAGTAACATGTAGGTATCTATTACCTACCTATATTGTATTGTATAAAATAAAAAATTAAAACTCAATTTCAAACGTAATCAAAAATTTTTGGACTATGTCCATTACTTTGGCTTGTTTTTCGGATATAAAGCATCAACTTTTCCATAACCATGCAGAATTGTTAATAATAATAATTATGTAATCATGAAATGCTCATTTAGTAAGTAAATACCTCGTACCCATAGAGCTCGTACCTATGTAGAGTACAGAAATAAACAATAGCTTTACGTCTGAGTAAATTAGTGCTAGTTTATTTGTTACAAACTTTCGTTTTCAGCAAATATTATGTTTCATGAAATTTTATACGATCGCTCTAAAATTACACGGCATACCTGTAGCGAGACTAATTTAGCCGAGTCCAAATGAATTCGACCTTTGGACTCATGTAACATTTACAAGTTGCCTTAGGCCAAAATGTCTTAAGGTGACTACTCTCTAGAGCATACGCTATTTGTATTTCTTACCTTTTCACAAACCAAACATTAAAGACGATCCTCGATAAAGGTAGGTTTATTACTCGCTTGAATATTGAAGGTTACGTTTTTTTTTCTTATATTATCGAGTACTACATGAGTATGACTAAAACATTAGGTAAAGATTCTTGCTCTACCGAATATTTTGACTTTTCGACATGACTCACTTACGACGGCGTTGAGCTTTCGTCGCAACGTACAATTTATATTTCAACAATCAAGGAGTCCCACTAAAAAATTCTATATTTAAAGTTCTTCTTCTTGTCGTATCGACAGCAAAAGTATACAGTGCCAGTCCAAAACTCTACGACAAAAGTGACGTTGTCAATAGAAATCTTCCTGCGTGCTCTTTTCAACTAAATAAGGAGTGCTGAATTACACGGACGAAGGAGCTCTAGTGTGAAGTCACCACAAAATCAACAGCGAAATGAAATGGCCATTGTATGCGTGACAGCCTAATTTCGTTTAAGTCCGCTATCTGGTTCAGCTCTTACTGTAGTTAAGTGGATTAGATGGAATTGCGCCTAACCTTGACAGTCGGTAAAGTCGGCTCGGTTTAAAATAGACAAAGTCCTCGATTAATAAGTTGATCCACTGTTTATCTTTCGGTGTGGATTAACCTTTACACAAGATTTTATTAAAATTATGAGTTTGAGAAGTTACTCGTATAATAACAACTTTTCCCTGATTTTTATTAATAAAGCATGTTTCATCAAAACATTATTTGAAAAAAGTTCGTGATATCTTTTATCTTTTCTTGTTCCCTTGGGCGACATTTATAAACGCTTCATCTCCGTTTTGTTGATTTTTTACACAGATTCGAGTAGCTACCTATAAAATCTCTGTAATATAGTGTCACAATTGTTGATAGGCTATTTTCCTGTTTTAGCCTAATTTCGCTGAACTCTTTCGTAGTAACTACACAATTTTCCATCGATAATAATTTAATGCTAAACTCCGATAAAACCACTTGAGACCTTATGTCAAACTGTCGAAACAATATAGTTTCGCCTACTGTTTTTCACAGGCTATCAAGTTATCTCTCTTGATTTTCACCATCAATATTATCCCCTTGTCGAAATTCGTCACTAACATGTGTTTCGGCCTTTTCCAAATTATAATAATTTACAATATACATTTTTATTCTAATTTAAGCAGACGTCTTTTAAGAGGGTTCCATTTAAAGCTTACTTTGTCTATTTCTGTTCGTTACATGTTTTTGATCCGATTTTATTTATAAAACTCAAAAAAAAACTAGGTTTTTGTGAAATAAGTACCTACACTTGATAAGGGTATTAGAGCTTGGTAAAGATACTCTTGAGACATGTTGACCTTATTTTATAAATGTATCAGCCTATTATGTTGTACTATAATATTTACCACCATTGGGAAATAATGAAACGATTTTCCGTGGCTGTAAGCATTATGTAGCGCAGATTTTGGTAATTAAATCAGCAATTTGTTTCAGCACGTGTACCTACTTGCGTTTTATTGGAATTCTGTGGCATCGGCAAACATTTTACGGTTAACTTTAAGAAATTACATTTACCTACTACAAAATTAATATTCAGCTCAAATAACTACTCGACAAGTGCTGTGTTGACAAATATAATATAGGAACACTCAACAATTTTGATATACGAGTATTTCTCAACTCAAACTTTAAAAGGTAGCTGTGCAAGCAATATTTTGTAACAGTTGTGCCTAAGGTAGGTAGGTAATTTAATACTTAGCTCTTTTTTCTGTCTGTAGTACACAGTAATAATAATAGCGACGAAGGTTTATTAAATCTAGATAAAATGATAAAATTAATTATCTACAATTTTGGCGCTCATTGAATTAGGTACACCTCATTTTTTCCACAACAAATATTTTTTACCTGATCCTTTGAAAAAATAACACTGGGGAACAGTCATTTTGCGGTATGGTAGTTTAGAGTCAATTCTGTATGCGACTAGTATGCTGAATACTAGAAAAATATTAGATTTGTCAAATTGACTCTAGATCTTGAGATAAATACTATTAACTATTTATATGAAAAAAAAAAACAAAACAAAAATACCAATCTGTATAAAAAAAAATTACACTAAGATCCTATTTAAGAACGATATATTATAAAAATTAAAAATATATTTGCTTGTCATCAAATAATAGAAAAAAAAACTACAAAAAGCTTTTTCTGTAAGCTTTTATGTTATGGTTTTAGTCAGGAAAATTCCATAATTATGGCAACAGTAATCAGCCATCATCTGGCGGTCTCATTGACCGTGGATATCATTCTTCCACTATCCTGATGTTCTGGTAGAACCGTTCTGCTTATTCCTCACTGTAATCACCCAGATTGTGGGAGAACCTGTCCAAATGGTTATTATAAAAAAATATTTTAATTCTCAAATTAGCTCCTTATGTGTAAATTTTTTAAAACAATTTAGCAACCATTTCTGAAAAGTCTAGTGCATATTGACTCCCCAAATATTGTTTGACTACTAAAACAAAGCTTAGCCATGCTTCAGATTCAATTTGTGTTATGTGGTTAACAAATACAGTGTCTTATAGAGTACGGATTTGCGGTCAATCGAATTTATTTTTTCCGTATTCAAACGGACGTTTCAGAACGTAAAGGACTTTAATTTGGCTGACTTTGATTAGAAAGCTCAGTTCATATCTTTGGCCTTCCAAATTGAAGTCCTTTACGTCCAGCTTGACTCCAGTATGGCAAAGAGTCTACACAAAGCTTGCAGACGATATTGGACCCCCAATATTTATTCTTTTATGGAAGTTTCATACCGAAGTATGCTTGGTAGGTTTTTATCACTACCTCCGTGATCTTATTTCTTTGCTTTTGTTAGTTTAGAAGCCAAATATTAACAAAAACTGTTGGGGTTGTAAACGCAAGGTTTTCATAATGAACTCATATTTTTTGAGACAAAAAGCTCTTTAAAAATTAATTTAAAAGACACAAACTGATAATTTCAAGGTCTAGTAGCTGATTACTAAATTGTTGTAACTACAACTATACTAATACACGAGTAGAAAATACAACCTAGTGGGTAAAATCAAATTAATATAAGTTTAGGAACGGTCGTTTAATTTTTTTCATTGATTTCTTGCGTCTCGTTTATCTCAAGAACCAGAGTCAATCCAAAGAAAGTAAATGCACACCATTTATGTCTAATACAAGTGTTTACAAAATCCATTAACAAAATAGATGCCGCAGATTTTTTTATTTTTTTTTTGTTCCGCAGTGTAATTTAATTATTTTTGTCTAGACCGGACTTTACTGAACTCATCATTTCATAGAATCCTTGTTTCAATTATACGGTCTGCCTAAAAAAGTACCTGCCATGTTGGTCTTCTATTCTCATTAAAATATTTAGAAAAAATGTGGATTTGAATTTTGTGTCGGGGAAAAACTCTTTGGACGTATGTACATAAAGTCCTTATTAGTCCTACGCGTAAACTTATAATAAAATCTCTTTGGCTGTTTTATTTGTGTCTGGCTGGTTTTGATAACATTATAAACTTTTACTTGCCTCTCAAAAACTGCTTTACATAAACCTTGTCTATGAAATTTTCACTGTAATTTTATGCTTGTTCATGGAAGGAGGTACTTAATATAATCTTAACGGAATTTTCCAGACCGCTGTTAAAAATAATTACACGTCAAATGAAACACATTAAAACACTAAAATCACGTTTCCAAAATATTTCGCTCCTTTATTTGATTAGCCTTAAAGTCACGAACAAATGTACAATTACTGAGTAAGTGAGCTCTATAATTAGACTCCATCGTCAGCATCACTTAACATTCACTGAGATACAGGTGTGACTTGAAAACGATCTTTTAATACATTGTTTAAAAGATCACTTTGCCCGCACATAAATTATGATCGTTTCTCCTTGTCCAAATCCGGATTTCAACTGTCTTTACTTCAGTTTTGGATTAAATATCCACAATAAAATTTTCGATACGTTTACACTTTAATATTGTTTAAATAGTAATACGAAAGTGTAAAAACATTGAAAACCGCAGATATTTTTACCAAAACCATATTGAAATTTGTCAGTTGACGGACGGATTTGTAATCCAGCATTAATGAACTCTTGTGAGAAACGTCTTCCAATAATATTCGTGTGAAAAAATTCTAGTTACGATATCTAGGTGAGCCCACAACCCAGCATGGCTTGCTTTTCTTTCTAGAGAGTTAAGACCTCGATTGTAGCCAGGACCACCCCACTGTAGCTTTTTTGGATAGTTATGGTTGAAATTAGTGTCAATTTTTTTTTTGGAATTTCATAATGCTTTACATAGGTATCTTACCTATCATTTATTTATTTTTTCATTTAGGGATAGTACACACCATTAATATCATTTGATATTAAACTTTTAGTGGCTAAAAACAGTGATAATACGCAAAACCGGTATTTCTACCCTGATCATTTCTATTGTTATAGGAGCTTGTGATTCGCGGCTCTCCCTCGCTATGGGAGATGCCGGCTGGAGTCATCATACATATGCCTGAGCTGCGAGTCCTGGACCTCCGAGGGAACGGCATTAGGCACATGCGAGAGGACCTACTGAGCGGGCCCCCAGCTTTGGAAAGGGTGCATTTGAGCGGTAAGACTCAAAACTTAATAGATCCCACCATAAACATTATTTTGCCGAAGTTCAAGGTACTGGCCCTCCTAGGGAACGGCATTAGGCACACATGGGAGGACCTACTACGTGGGCCCCCAGCTTTGGAGCGGGGGCATTTCAGTGGTAAGACTTAATGCTTAATAGATCCCACCAGAAACAGTATTATACCGAAGTTGCGAGTGCTGGACCTCCGAGGGAACGGCATTAGGCACATGCTAGAGGACCTACTGAGCGGGCCCCCAGCTTTGGAAAGGGTGCATTTGAGTGGTAAGACCTAATACTTAATAGCTCCCACCAGAAACATTATTATGCCGAAGCTGTGAGTACTGGACCTCCGAGGGAACGGTATTAGGCACATCCCAAAGGACCTACTGAGCGGACCCCTATTTTTAGAATGCTCCCGGTCCCGGCATTTGAGTGGTGGGTTACATAAAGTATAATAGCTAATACAGGCTGAGATGAATAATAAGCGCGTAAGACTATCCATCTAGGTGTTATTAATCTAAGACTACAGATATAGCCCACTCTAATTTTAGTTTAGCCCTAAGATTGATTGAGAGAGGATGCTATATTACGTCATTAAGTTTGCCTTTCCATCATGTTGAATGTTCAAATACTATAAATAAATAGCAAATAAACGGACTATTTTGTATCTTCTTGCGGTAGCGGTGGTTTTCTTCAGACTTCAGATTACTTCAGACATGTTATACCGTAACAACTCTGTGACGTCACATGTTACCTTTCCCGCAATGATCCACTAACGCAGGAGCCTACTCAATTATTCACTACTAGCTTTTGCCCGCGGCTTCACTCGCGTGAAATTTCGTTTGTCACAGAATGTCATAAATTATAGCCTATACATATGTTATTCTGGGTTATAAACAATAATACTGTAAAGTTTCATCAAAATCCGTTTAGTAGTTTTTGCGTGAAAGAGTAACAAACATCCAGATATTCAGACATCCAAACTTTCGCATTTATAATATTACTAAGAAGTAGGACTAGCAGGATAAGGTCTACCAAAAATGTATAGGAAATTCGTTCATAAACTTTACTCGTTCATATTCCGAACCTAACCTTACCGAAATAAATAAATTATGAACGATGATGGTACAAGATCACACACGAACTCTATGGCTACGTAACATAATGCTATTTTGCAAGAGATATACCTACATACCACCTTTTTAATGTTACATTATTACGTAGAGTTGCCATCACATCAAATTATAGGTACTTTTTTGTTGCAAAATAAAAGATGCCACAGTATTTAGCTTGATGAGTCCGTGCAACACTGTAATTCGATATTCTTCAGCTTTCCCCTTTTACTTTAAACAACTCTCCTGTCCCTGGGTTGCTTGTAAAAGATGGTTCTTTGCCGATAGATCGCCTGAATATGTAGATATAACTAAAGTATAGTGTTTCCTGGAAGCTTTCTTTACGATGATAATAAAAATAATCTTTATTTTATAATAAAGTCATCAGCCCATATCAGTTCACTACAGCCACCTTTGATATAGTACGAGTAAATACCTACTGAAGAGTAAGTCTTAGGATTTTGGCGCTTTTATATTAGAACTTGCCACTGCCGAAATATAACTTACTAACGTAACCAAAATATGGCTTACTTGGGACCGATTTTTCAATGGTCAGTTAAATTAAACGACCAAATTATTGCAAAATACCACATAATTACAATCAGATTTTAACGTCGTTTAAGTTCTATCACCACCACGTAAGGTAGTTTTAACGACTTTTCAGAAGATTGGATGAAACGACGCGTCTTTCGATTCTCTATCGAATGGCATCAAAGTGTCAAAACCGCCAAAATGACTTACGTGGTGAAGAGAACATAACCGACGATATGATAGATACCAAGCCAGCGTTTAACATGTTTGTATTTAGTGTACTCGGGTTGTAATCAGAAGGGTAGGTACTTAGTAGAAAGCATTCTGTGCTCAGTGAGGCGCGCACATCGGTCTGACAGCGTAAGATACGATTCATAAAAATAAACATCCAAGTAAGCACCTACTATCAATGAATATGGGCGTTCCTATTTATTTCGTGAGAGTGACACATAACTTATAACCTTATTAGATTTACGTAACGTGAAAAACATCTTATCACACGTAATAGGTACCTTTTTTCTTTTTTATGTCGTTTATTTCGAACTCATATTTTATGTAAAACTACTTCTTAATGGATCTTCATTACCTACAACCAATTTTTCTCTTCTTCTTTATGAAAGAATTCCTTTTAAGAGCTTATCTCGCATTCAATGTCTAGATTTGTCCATCATTCATCCCATCCCCTCCAATTTTAAATTGTAATAAACGTAGTATAAAACGAATTCTAAGGCAGAGTTGCACCAGCTAACTTTGACCGTAACTATAACGATAACCGGCGAATTTTGTATGGAGTTTGACAGATTTTTGACGTTTGTCAAAGTCAAAGTAAGATGGTGCAACCCAGCCTAAGAATACTTTATAAATGAAGCTTAATAACAGTCCACAGTGTGAAAATGGAATCGGGTACCTTATTGTCATATTGTTTAATTAAGTATAGTGTTAACTTTCAATACCTAGGTACTCAACGCTAAATTTCATTGCATCCATAATGTTACAAGAGGTGGTATGCAAATCACCATTGATATTTACCGTAAAATTGCGCAGACTTTAGAAAGCCGGTTTCACACCTATAACACAATAATTCTTGTAAATTGCAGTACCTACTGTAATACAAAGTAATACATAATTCTTTCAACTCACGAAGGCGAGTGAGCTTTACTTGTGTGTGTACGTGTATATGCACATAACAATAGTGTAATGTCTTGACGTGGTAGAGCAATCTATACTCATATTTGGGACATGTAAGATCAAGTGTCGAGAAAAGGGCCTACGTACCAATGTAATTTAAATGTTTGCGAGTACTAAATTATAAGTCAATACGCGTGATACGCGTATCTTTATCCTCAATAGCTGAAATACGGTCTATTTTGAACAAACTAATAATTTTAGTAGGCTAGACCCTGAGTACACAGGCAACAATTCGTCTAAGTGGCCGCGCCTATACAAATACAAATGTTTGTGTCGACCATCGCCCTAATTAAGACTTACCTACCTTTTAGAAAACAATATTTTGGTTTTTCTTTACCTCAAAACAAGGCTAAGAATCACAACAATACCTATTATACCTACTTCGGGTGTAAAGCGTTTCCCACTCGCACCAATGTTTGAAATACATACCTACCTCAAGTTCGTACTTGACGTACACGTACATAAAGTGTACATACTCGTGTAGGTACACTTTGTGAACACATTTAAATAGTTTAATGCCCGACCACCATCNTTTCACCATCAACCCCTAATTTTTAAGTGACTCTTATGAAACAAAATTCACCATAGGGGTCACTTAAAAATTAGGGATTGCAGTGCAGCACTCTATTGATTTGCCTATATTACTCGTACACAACGCATCGGAAAATAATAAGTGGTACTTTGAACCGATGAAGATACTTGAAAATTCAGGATTACTATTGCTAACAAATAAAATTACGGTCGGCCCCCGAAACGTGTTTTTGGTATTTTTCACTTCTATTTTCTTATCTCTCAGTAATAAATTAAAGAGAATATTCACAGCACAAATAAGTACAAAACCAAAATAGTAACGTTTTTCCAAAGAACAAAATGAAACATCCCGTTACGTGCCTAACATCGTTGAATGAACACAAATACACTGAAAGCGTCTCTTATTTGCTTAACACTATTATCTCTATTAAACCGTCGTGTAACTGCTCCGGACATCTGACAAGGGTGATCTTTATTAACAGCAAGGAAAATCTATGGTGTTGAAAATAGAATTGGTAACTTACAGATAAAAAGGGTCTAGAATAGCACTTCGTTCCGTACTTACCATTGTATTGAGTTTTAATTTTATTTGTGTTTTCGACCAAAATTAGTGGTATACTACATAAATTAAATAGAGATTCTATTTATCGCACACCTCACTTATTAAACTAGGTCAGAACTACATATACATATAATTAGGTCAGATTACAGTTGTAATTAACACGTGCCACGAATTTTTAGGTTTTATGACTTTGTTGTTCTTCTCGTTACCTTTGATTTCAATTTCTAACAATAAGAGGAAATCTCAATTCAAGTTAAAATTGTAATGGAGCAAAAGTGCTTCTACGTAATAAGCAATGTAGGTGTACACGTGTTTCACACAGAGTGTGACGTTTTTCGATACGAGCGTGTTGCGAAGGAAAATAAAACTAGATTTCAGTAACATCAATGTTTTCAACTGAAAATTACTCTATTGAGAAAAAGGATAACTGTTAAAAATATACCGCCTTAATAGAGCCGTACCAATATTTTCAATAGTAATTCTAAGTAACTTTTTGTATGGTGTGCCCATCCAGTTAAGATTAATTTGTTCTTACTATAACTTCTTCTAATGTTTTTAGATAACCAATGGGACTGCAGTGACGGAGGACTGGACTGGCTAGCCATGCAGGACGAGCACAGTGCAGCTAGAAAAAGGATCGTAGACTACGAGCAGCTCGTCTGCCACCAACAGCTGTATAGAGGGAAACCACTGCACAAAGTCATGGATATTATAAAGGTAACCCTTGTGTTGCTCTTTTTCAACGTGTTAGACATGTCACTTTTGTTGTTTTACAGTCAATGAGCACCATACGACATATTGAACGCACTTCTTCGTTGATGTATACCAATTCTGGCTACAAAAATTCGGACTTGAGGTCCGAATTGTTGTATTAATGAAATATTTTTCCAAAACAAGAAGCAATTTTACGAGTACAATATTGTTTTCATAAATCATAAAGAATAATATTTGTAGCAATAAACGCTGGTTCCTCTACAAACAAATTAAGTATTTAGCAAAACAACGCTTACTTTAATTTACTCGAAATTTTTCCTTGTCATTAATTGGAAACTCATAGCCTATTCAAAGTTTAATAATGCTTTATTAAGTTTTGCCTGAATTAAACTAAGCAGTAACTGAAACGAAGGAACAACTTAGAACTTAATATTTCTTGGAATGTCATATTTCTGTTACATTTGAAGTTACTACAGTAATCATAAATTACTCTCGACCGTATTCACAAACGATACTTGCAAATCGAACGCACAGCGTTGAATAGAGCTCTGTGATTGGTTCGTGTGTCACCAATGACATACCAAACATCTTAGTGGGAGACCTCATAATAATGCTTGTGAATACGGGCGTCTGTTTTTCTTTTTATGAAATCTGCTAACGAATAAAACTGTGAAGCTGAATAGTTTACAAGAGAGGAATGCCCAAAATCAAGTCTCCATCAAAACTGTGTGTCTGCCGTATTACCTATTATTCGACATAATTTGATGGTCAGTGTTTTTGACTATGATTCACTACCTAAACATTTTTATCGTAGCTTGTAACATAATGTTCCTGTCTAAAATATGACAGTCCAATCTATCTAACACCAAGGGATTTTCTTGGCACAAAACCTACACACGTTTAACCTAGTTTTGCTTTTGGGAATTTCAATTCTGTGGCTATCTAAGTAGAAATCGGAATTTGGCGTGAAACAAACAAAGAATGTACAAAATAAGTAGTACTTAACTAAATCTCTACTGTACTTAGGTATCTGAGTAGTCTCTAATTATACATTTCATGGAGATAGATTTCAGAACTCTCTTGACTGTTGAGTCTATTTATTTTGGATTTATTGACTTAAATCTCCGATCATTCCAAATCCAGATGTTGATTCTAATCTTATCTTTACTATCTCGAAATGCCAATGAAAGGATTGAATTGCCTGCCCACTTCACATAGATATCTGAATTTTAAAAATAATGAACATGATCTATTTAAAAACATATTATGTTGTGTATAAGTTATTTCAAGTATTTTTGATATTGTAACACATAGAGGCTTGTGAACCCTCAATGTTTTGTAATATTCTAATTTCAATATACAGGGTTAGAGATCAGATTAACGAAAATCTGAAGACGATAGGAATTTCACGAAATTAACTCCCTTTTCTTTCTATTGTGCCCGTACCATGGTGCCCGTACCTAGTTAATATGGTTATGTAATCTATGAAAGTACAGGAAAATTAAATAACGTGTCATTCATACGTGACTCTACTATACATAATAAATAATTTTATCGAACGGAATAGTAGGTAACAGGTACCTACTGCGGTATATAAAAATATTAAAAGAGGTTCGACTTTTACCCTGGAACCAAAACAAATAATGTAGACTTCGAGGTGTATGCAATTGAGTTAAATGCTTATAATTTTGCCAACCATTCCTTCTCATCCTGTATACGTTGACATAACCAATTATAAGGTTCTCCTCGTGAATGAGATGTAATACATAAATAAGGCGTAATTATTCACCTTCATCAAATTGTCAGCCCTTGAGTTTATTGGATCGCTCGGTACTCAGCGAAATAAGCTTTAGGATGTGAGAAATAGACTTTGAATTTGTTTGTATAACAAAAACCACCTTGCTAGGAATTATTTCGTTGTTTACAACACGAGCCTTTTGAGCATTCCATGCGGGCCCACAAATCTCACAGCTCATCTTGCGTTTCGCGGAAAGTGTACAGATTTCGCTTTTATTATAATGCAGTAAGATTCAATATTGTGTGACTTTCGGTATTTTTCTGTCCTCACTAGCTTAATAGTATTCGACTCATTGAACCCGGCACTTTCCTGCTCGGAACTATTACTTTATTTATAACATTTAGTTGCGTCCGTAAATATGTTTTTTATGCATAATAAGGCAGGTATTTGATCGCAATCGCACCTGGTGTTATGTGAAATGCAATCTAAGGTGGTACATATCTGCCCAGTAAGTGCCTATTCACTCTCGCCTTGAAAAGGCCCGGATTATAATGTCTTCATTTTCACACACGTTTACCTGACTTTTCGTAGGTAAGTAGGTATATCAGGAATCTTAGTTTTGTCCTTAGTTTACTCAACGTAAGAAGCAAGCATACTTTCTAGCATAATGTGAACCAAATCTTAACAAGCACGAATTTAGTCTAAGGAACAGTTGTTAATAATAAATAAGGTATTACGGTTGTTACTCAAATTAAATTTAACACAATGAAACTTTAAGCTATAGGATTCCTTTTGTAATACTTTTTCTTAATATCCAGTGAGCCAACGTCCTTGATTACCATCCATCAAAATTGCTTTTGTCGGAAGACTGACTTTCCTACAAAATGAAACATTTCAGGAAAGAAATAAAAGGTAGTGAAGAACACTAAACAATATTACGAGTATATTTTCGAGTATTTCGACGATGTTTTATGAAAAGAAGTAAACTTATTTCAGAACGACACAATGATGACTTTTGTTCATGATTTTTCTCCAACAATATGAGTTTCTCCCGTCACAACCCGTACTGTCAGCATGGAGAATGTCCAAAACCGCCATTAGACCGCCACCAGTGGTAAATTAGAGAGTGTCGTGCTCCTGCTATGGTGACTAAATAAATGACCTGATGATCTCGATTGATGATGAATTCTCAATCACAACAAGCTTATTTTTCCAGACAATGCACCAAACGTGTCCAGAGCCATGCACATGCACCATGACCCACGTCGTGTCCGACGCAGCAGGGGCCGTCATTCCGCTGATAACCGTGAACTGTGCCAGCAAGCAGCTTGCAGCGCCGCCGGCGTCGCTGCCTCCCAACACCACCACGTTGCGACTCGAGGGCAACAAGGTAAAATGGTACGAAGTTTCAAGGATTTGCGGCCCACGCTAAATGTCGCGCCCAGAGCCCTGAATAATCGAGCCGCAGATTATATCTTACTTGGAAGATGACCACAGACCATTGGCAGCACCTGAGAAAGAGTGTAGGTAATTAAATAAGGTCCTATATTTTGTGTTTGACCTGCCGCCTTGTAAATCACACTTTTAAGATAATCTTGAGCAACATTACTAATTTCTGAATACACATCCAAAGATTCTAAGCCGTTCTCGACTGCAGCGTTACAGTGGTGGGTGGGTGGCACAGTCGCTACAGTCTTCGGTTGCAACAAATCAGTGGTTGTTGATGATAGTAACCAATAACCATGAAGCATTTGTCTTTAGCCTAAAATTGACCTTTTTGCGGCACAAATGGTCTATGCTATCATATGTAGGGTATATACTTACGAGTATAGTGCCATGAAAATATGTAATAGATTACATAGCAGTTAATCGTCTTGCCACTGTCAAAACGGTCTGCGGTCTTCTCGTAACAGCACCTTAACAAAACCGCCACATAATTACGCCCATATTGCTTGGGCGGGAAATTAACAACCGCGGCAACCACGCGTGTTTAGCGTCGGCCGTCATACTTATTAAGTTAATTGGAAAACTCGTGAATCGGAAATCTCGTGTCGTAACAATAACCGTCAACTTTAGTATTAAAATTCTTGAAATTAATTAAAACATTGTTGGGATCGTGACCCATACTTGTCGCAGATCAAAAGAAAATTCCTACTCTAAAGAGTAGCAAGCTTTTATACAATTTTAATCTACTAAAGTCTCAACGGTTTCTGTTAATAAATAAAAGCCTTACAACCAAACCTTTAGATTTGGACGCTATTTCCGCTTAAATAATAATTAAATTTCCTCGACTTGTCCCCAAAAATCTAAAATCCATTTTAGGTGTAAATAGAAAGCTGACAGTTTCAGACCATTGTTATTGGCAGTTTCGAATTACATAACAAGATGAGTTGGGTTTACATGACTAGTTTAATATTCCATTAATATTAATAATGGTCCCTAAAGTAATGGTCCATTTTGAAGCGGACTATAAAGTATGGAAAACATTTGATGAATAAATGTGTGAATGTGTATGGAAATGATCCCCATTATATCTAGTTCTTGCAACTCACGAAGGCGAGTGAGCTTTACTTGTGTGTGCACGTGTGCATGCACATACTATAGTGTATGTCTATCAAAACTTTTAAAAAACGAACAGTAGTGAGCCACCACACATGTAAAGCTCACTCGCCTTCGTGAATGTACCTACCTAACAATACTATACATAATAAGTTCTACCTACTTACTTGATTTTGTAGAGGTGGAGTAATGTTAATGAGGGGACACGATTTAGTTACCACCCATATTCCATAGGGGATAATTACTCAATTAGTTTCAAGTTACGCAACATACTAATTATAATTCAGGCTTCGCATTAGGATCTGCTTATACTTTTTCTAGGAAATGATACCTAACGCCTAATTTTTAACGTAATAATTAATAATGTAATAAACTAATAATCTTCATCGTTAAGGAATACATATAAACCAAGCTTTTAAGCACAGCATTCTGGGAAAACATAAATCAATTGCATAATTTAGTTTTCTACCTTTATCTTTAATAAACCTCTTCATTTCGTTCAATAATAAAAGCACGCACGGTAAAGAAGAGTAAAGGAGAAGGAGGAGAGAGAATTTGGGATAATAAAAAAATCAAGTCTGTATACATACTTAGTTAGATTAATTTAATTAAGCTTTTAAAGTATTTTTTCTCTTCCACAGATAAACACAATACGGTCTATAGTCCAAAATCCCCAGTACAGAAAACTGGCAGACCTCGTGCTGGACAATAACAGCATATCAGCTGTGAAAGAGCTGGAAGGGTCTGAGTGGTTCACCACGTTTCGCGTGCTGAGTCTCCGTGGGAATCTGCTAAAACAGGTGCAGTATGAGACTATTTAACTCTATTACAGCTGTTAGTAGTTATTTCGGAGTTACGCCAAAATCTAGGAAATCCGTAAAATTAACTCAAAGATACCATGGACCTATAAAAAAAAGTCGGACGGATTCTCATCAACAAAATACTGTGACATTAGGATACACCAGCTTGCCAGTACGTACAGGCCGGCACACACACATTCACACCCTGATACACCAGTTCGAGTGCAAACTTCACACAGTTGACACATTTAAGCTGCGAAAAAACAACACGAATACGACATGTCTTGTGTGATGAAAATGTGTAAAAACCATTCTGTTCGAACAAACAAAATTAAGGAATCACATTTCACAGGCAAAATAATACTTATCCAATCACTTATTTTCCGACATTAAAATATTGAAATCAGACGTCATTCACTCGAAAAAATAATACGTCAAAGACCAGTGTTCTCAGTTATTTACGTGGGAAAATTACCCGAAATATGGGAAATTAATAATTTTAGGACTTTTTAGTTATTTATTACGCATATTATGGAAACAAAATAATTTATCATAATAATTGTGTTTTAATGAGATATATTTTCATAGGCAAATTTGATCCTTCCCAAAAATGTGGAACTGCGAAATTCAAATTTTCTTACATTGATTGCAAGTCAGTGTCAGGTTGTATGTTTAAAAAAATCTATCAGAGATAATAATTATATATTGATGATGCATAAGATTATGATTATACTTCGTCGNGGGGTACTACATGGTAAAATAAATCTCGGAGGCGAAAGCAGGATAATGTATTTCATATAACACATTATTATTTTACTGAATCAATATGAAACTATTTTTTTAACACTTGTAAGTAGTTTTTAACCAACGTAAAAAAAGGTTTTCAATTCGATTTTTCTGTATGTACCTACCTACGTTACCGCAGAACTCCGTCAATTATGAACCGACTTTCAAAATTTTTTTTTTGTTCGATAGGGTATACTCTTGAGGTGGTCCCATTGTCACCAAGTCAGGGTCTGATAATGGGATCCTAGGGAAATCGAGGGCAACCCTCAAAGGACATTGTCAGAAATCGCCTAAAAAACCGCCCAAAAACATTAACCCATCATAATTATTTTCTAATTTTTTTAATACATTAAGCACCCTTTCATTCTAATGGACACTTAAGCATTGAAAAATTAAATAAATAAGTCTTTTAACGTTTATTCTATAATACTATTACAACTTCCNTACGCGGCGTCCATTCCAGGACCTTCCTGCCCCATCGGCCGTCAGTTCTGCGTCCGCGTCGGGCTATGTCCGCTGAGTCCGCTGACATAGAAATGAGGAGGTCCGTAAATCTCCTCATTTCTGATTCGATCTCGTAAAGAAACACCGAGCATAGCCCTCTCCATAGCACGCTGTGCAACTTTGAGCTTCTGTATAAGACCTATAGTGAGAGGCCACGTTTCCGAACCATAAGTCATCACTGGTAACACACATTGGTTGTAGACTTTCGTCTTCAGGCACTGAGGTATTTTGGATGAAAAGATGTTGCGTAGTTTCCCGAACGCTGCCTAGCCGAGTTGGATTCGACGATTGACCCCCTTTTCGAAATTGGACCTACCTAGCTGGATCGTTTGTCCGAGGTAGACATACTTGTCAACAATCTCGAGGATTGAGCTCCCAACCGAAACTGGGTAGGGCGCAACATGGACATTGGACATAAGCTTTGTTTTGTCCATATTCACCCTCAGGCCTACCTGTTAGGAAACACGATTAAGGTCTTTGAGCATTGTGCCAAGATCTTACAACGATTCTGCCATGACCACAATCAGTATCGTGGGCAAAACGAAGGTGAGTGATGTACTCGCCATTAATGTTTCTGCCAAATCATTTCCATTCAAGGAGTTTGAAAGCGTCTTCCAATGCAGTGGTGAACAGTTTAGCAGATATAACATCTCCTTGCCTAACGCCTCACTGCAGAGGAATCGTCCTCATGCTCTGCTCCTGTACTCGGACCGACATGGTGGCGTTTTTGTACAAGCACTTCAGCACCTCGATATACCGATAGTCAATACGGCACCGCTGAAGACTGTAAGCACTGCCCAAGACCCGATCGAATCGAAGACCTCAGTCTACGAACGCCACGCATAGTGGCAAGTTATACTCCTCAATCTTCTGTATAACCTGTCGCAGCGTAAGCGCAAACAAAAATGTGCCAATGATTTAAAAAAATTGTAAGAAAAATATCCCATAAAAAAAAACAAAGTACAAAACCAATAAGTAGGTAATCTTTATTAGTAGCTAATCTGATATCTTTAGGTTCTCTATACGTTTGCAATTTTCTTGTGACGACTCATGTCTAATACCTATAACAGATTTTTAGATAACTATGCAAAACCCGAAAGTACCGAAAAAACCGGGTTTTGAATTTTTAAAACCCGGTTCTTAAGCTGTCGAAAAAACCCGGGTTTTCCCGGTTCTTTCGGTTCCGGGATTACCCGGGTACAAACCCTAGTCCTGACGGGCGCGCGCGTGACACTCGACTGATTAATACCCGCCGGCGGGGCGCTTCGCTGGCTGTAGGTAATTATCGGATGTACCGCGCGGAGTGAGCCAGGCCTGTTTTAGTTAACGTCTTAAGAGTTGGTAATTTTTTTTAAGTCGATGTGCGAGTTTTAGTGATTTCAATTAATAAATATGTCATAATTATAATCAATAAAGTACCCTTATTTGAGGCGAATGATTGCCCTCCCTCTAGTCTAGTAAAATGATGAGCTTTCTGAAGATTTAAGTTAGGTTTTAAGTTATACACGAATACTGAACGAACATATTTTGTATTCTCACCTTGGTGTTGTCGTCGCGATAAGTTACAAATGGACAGAACTTATAAATCTTTCTCCTTTTACATTTGTAAAGTCAAGAAAGTCAAACGGTTTAGAATTTCAACCTCAATTTTGCATCAGTTCTGTCTGCAAACGGATCGACAGCCTCATTTATAATGCTTTTTGTAGCTTTCAGCGATCATAGATATGAAAGACTTGTGGAAATCTAAGCTACAAAGGCTTCAAAAGCTTTTAACTAATAAAAGTCACTTAAAGGACGTAGCACACTTATCAACCCGGAAAGGGGTCGTAACCGTATCAACTCGAGGCGGTCAGTATTCTTTGTATGAAACACCAGACTGCACCGCACTTATCCGCACCGTAACGTAAACGCCTCGCCTCCCGGTAGACAGCGAGCGAAAGGCGATGACAGTTCGCGAATGGCAATACAGCGTGGATCCCTTTCGGAGTTGATAAGTCTGCAATATCTTATAATTTGGCTAATATTTATAATATTTGCTACCATCACTGTAGTAGTGTTTTATTAGATGAAATGAAAATTGTATGTGCAGACGACGGCACGTCAAGCTGTAAAATGTAGCATTTTATGCCGTTACAATAGGTGTTCTTTTACTACAGAAATGTATAGTCTGATATGCTGGCGCCTGTACTGTACTTGTTCGTCAGTCTTACGACCGTATTCACAAACATTATTATGAAGTCTCGAAGTGCGCGTGTACGCACAGGGTGACAACGAACCAATCACAAAGCTCTATTCAACGCTGTGCGTTCGATTTGCTGCTTCACTTAAGCAAGCATCGTTTGTGAATACCTACGGGCGTTAGCTACGACAGATTTAATAGTAGTCTTAATGAGTTCATTGAACAATTTAATTACCCCAAGGCTACTATCGATTTCATAACCACGTGGGCGTAAATAGGTATAATACTGACCTAAAGCTAGTAGTAATTTGGCGCTATCGTAGGCGTAGCTTGCAAAAACCATGTCAAAGTATTGCCCATTGACCTGATGACTGATCATTTGTGAGTTAGTATGTCGATGAGGTTTTTTATTTGGTAACGCCCACCCGTATTACGTGTGGAACAATATTGAGAAGTCATCGTGTACTTGCTTCAACTTTTGAATGGGTAACTAACTGTTGTTGTTAAGGTACAAATTCGCTTGAGTTTAGTCGTACAACAAACCTATACAGTGTCAGGTCAGCCCAAAACCCGCTACAAGAGTAGCATTCATTAAATCTTCCTGCGTGCAATTGTTTGGGCACGCAGGGCACGACATCATGTGCTTCATCCACTGGGGAACAAAACCGCACTTGCACTGTAAGTTTGAGTCATCCAATTAATGATATTGTAAATCAATTAGGAACACAGTGTGGCACGTGTTGTGTACTATGCAACAACTCATCCACTATCCACAACTGGCATATTCATTCATAATTAATATTGAAACAGAACAACTATTTTAATTTAAAAACCATGCTGTGAGTTTGTTGAACATGACTTCACGTCATGAACGTACAATTTATCAAGTGATACAAACTAATGCTGATAAATTTAATTCATTAAAAATAACTAAATGAATCAAAACTAACGAAAGCGAACCACTCAATAGGTCAAATATCCCAATTTAAATATGCAACATTCAGTTCATTCAACATTTACCGACACGTGTGCACCGGACGGGACACCAGCGCTTAATGAGCTTTACCGCTACGCGCGTGACGTCACACATCCTACGGTGCGCCGGCGCAGCGAGTGACCAAATTGTTGAATGGACTTGCGGTGTAAAAAATATAAACATTGACACGGTTTTGTGGTTTGTTTTTATGACAATGTAACTAGATACGTCGTTTTACGGGACTAAGAATGCAGTATTCTTTATCGGATATTGTCTATTGTGTTTTTAGGGTTCCGTGCCTCATTTTTTATGTAGAGTCTTCTTCTAATCTTCTCTGCTAGGCATCAGCCCATAATGTATGTTATCCCGAAGCAGTAGTAGGGCAAGCTATATTTGGGACGTGTATTTGACTGCAATAACACCTGTAGGCTTAGGATGCGCGCCGCGATAAGCGTTTATCACGCATTTTATCGATTTTACGTGATAAGCCCATACATTTTTCGTCTAAATCCATCGATAAGATTTAATCACGGTGCGCAGCCTAGCCCGGCTGATGTTAAATGAGATACAGTATAG